GGGAAGGATACATGGTTCTTGGACAGTTGCTGCGGACAACATATGTGCTCTTCAGGACGTTTCGTTCAACGCGAGCACCAACTTCAACGAGAAGTCGTCATCACTGTCGCCAATAATCAGAATCTGCGCACACGACGACAAGGAGTAGTGCAACTTCAGTCACGAGAGACGAATGTCATACTGCAAATGGCCAAAGTCCTAATAGCAGAAGGACTTGGCTACAACTTACTGAGCGTCAGTCAGTTGATGGCGAAAGGCATACATCTGGAAGCCGACAGTACCACCCAGGAGTTCAAGCTGTACCACGGGAAGGGCGGCCTCTACATCGGAAAGGCGGTCCTGAAGAACAATGTCTTCGTTCTCGATTTCGTCCCAGACCTGGGCACCGCAGACAGTGGCGGGATCGTCACCTTCACATCTTGGACGCACCCGCCGGATCTCGACCCCGACTTCAGTCCGGAAGGCTTTTGGTATTCACATACCATTCCTGAAGCAGAACGAACACGTGCGTTAGTAACAATACAACATTCGGCAGCAGCAGAGACAACATCGGCAGCAACAGAGACAACATCGGCAGCAGCAGAGACAACATCGGCAGCAGCAGAGACAACATCGGCAGCAGCAGAGACAACATCGGAAGCAGCAGAGACAACATCGGCAGCAGCAGAGACATCATTGGCAGCAGCAGAGACATCATCGGCAGTAGCAGGAACAACAACAGTAGCAGCAACAACGACTCGTTGACGAAGCACCACCAACACCCGCACAGCAGCTGAATCCGGCTCAACGGGAAGTCCATAGAAGCGCAAACTTCACCGCCAGCTTCTACTCCAACTCCGACGCGTATCGACGCTCACCCGGACACCGCGCCTCCGAAGACATCTGGCATGCACGCATGGGACACCCAAGCAACATTGTGTTAAACAACACAATAAGAGCAGGAGTCCTTGACAAGGACTCGTTACTACTACTCGACGGCAGAGAACTTCAACGGGCACGAGGAACATGTCTTACCTGCCCCGAAGCCGACTTACCACATCGGCCGTTCACTCCTCATCACAACCCGAGCACACCCGCGTACGCATCACTAGAAAAGGTGTATAGCGACATCCTGTACAATCGGGAACCAGGACAAGTAATATACAACTACACAATCACCTTCATCGACGCCGCCACCCGTTACGTCTGGCATCTAAACCTACCCAGCCGCGACATGGTCCTCGAAGCATTCGCTGCTTGGCTACCAGTAGCAGAAAGAGAGTCGGGCGTAAAGCTGAAAAGCTTCCAGTCTGACGGAGGAGGAGAATACACCTCTCAGCGATTCAAGCAGTGTCTGGCGGAAAGGGGAATCAAGCAGCTCCTCTCTCTTCCCTACGCCCATCAGCAGCAAGGTGTAGCAGAAAGAATGAACAGGACTCTGCAGAACAGCATGCGCAAACTGTTGCGTGGCATGCGGCTACCCAACCACCAGTGGCCTGACGCGATGGACCACGCTGTCATGCTGCACAACTTGCTCTCATCTTCATCACTACCGAACAACGCATCACTGCATCTGCTGTGGACAGGAAAACAGGGCAGCACAAAAATGTTACGAGTGTTCGGATACATGGTACAGTACCGACCCCCAGCAGCACGAGCGGGCCGATTTTCACAACGCGCACAGTGGGGACTACACCTCGGCATCGAAAAGAACTACAACGCGTGGAAAATCTTTGACGTCCACTCCAAGGAAACAGTAGCAGCACGCGGCGTCCTTTTCTACGAACGACTCACGCTCCAGACATACCTTGCCAACCTGCAAGAGGACCAAGATCCCACAGGTGGTTTTCGTGGTGACCGAGCCTTCGCCTCGGCAGCAGACGAAGCTGACTGGGACGAGCAGAATGTGGCCAACGTATCAGAAGAAGCTGGACCCCTTCCGTTCTGCTCCGTCGACGTCCCCACGGACGAAGATAACCCTCGCAAAAGTGTCAACGCCGAAACCTTCTACTACTTCGCCGACAACGGTTACGTAACACCTGCGACAGTCAACACCAACGAAGCAGAACGAGTAGGACCGAATTTCATACCTGATCCAGAAGCGGGAGATGAAGCAGCTTATCCCGAGGATGCAACTCTTCCCCGCTACTCACAGACTGGACTGCAGATTCTCGGACTCGTCACCGCAGTCCACGGCAACACTCTTCCTAAGGAGCCTGCGACGGTTCAGCAGGCTCTGGGGGGGGAACACAGGGAAAAATGGCGTGAAGCCATGGACAGAGAGTTAAAGGCGCTGGAGGAACGGAACACCTGGAAAGTTGTCCCCATCAGCGTGGCAAGGAACAAGACCATTCTCACCGGGAAATGGGTCTTCCGCGTTAAAACAAAAGCAGACGGCACAATTGAGAAGTTCAAAGCACGCTGGGTTGTGCGTGGATTCGATCAGGAGCACGGACGGGACTTCACCGAGACATTCGCCCCGGTTAGCCGACATACCTCACTTCGAATCCTCCTCGCGATCGCCGCCATGAAGAAAAGGAAGCTACGGCAAATCGATGTCGCCAACGCGTTCCTCTACGCACCTGTCGACGTGGAAATCTTCGTCGAGCTCCCACACGGTACCAACGGGGAACCTAACCAAGTCTGTCAACTGCTGAAATCACTTTACGAGATCAAGCAAGCTCCGCGGCTATGGCAACAGTACCTACACGCTCGCCTCATTCGCATCGGATTCCGCCAACTACCTCACGACCAAGGAATGTACCGACTCACTAAAGACACCGACTACATTCTGCTGATCGTCTACGTAGACGACCTACTCTACATCGGCTCCACTGACGACATCACCACCTGGTTCGAAGGGGAGCTACAGAGGGACCTCACACTCACGGTCTCCTCTACCGTCACACAGTACCTCGGCTTGAACATTCGGGAAGAAGAAGGCGCGATCTACCTCAACGCCGCTAAGTACGCCGACACCATCGCCAAACGCTTCGCGCTCACACCTACCACCATCTCTACGCCCTACCGCTACGCGACAGGAAACCACAAGAAAGGATCCTCTGTACTCAAATCCGCCGGGATACGCGACTACCAGAGAAAGCTAGGATGCCTTCTCTTCGCAGCTGTCACCTGCCGCCCCGACCTCTCATACTCCGCAAGCCAGCTCGCCACCTACCTCAAGAAGCCTGAAGCAGAACACCTGGCGGAGCTCGACCGCGCTCTCCACTACTTCGTCAGTACCTCAACGATCGGCCTAACTTACTACAAGAACACAACTACACCGACTAAATTAATCGGCTACGTCGACGCTGATCACGCTGGCGACTCCGACAACAGGCGCTCCCGCACCGGCTACATCTACCGCCTCGAACCTATCGGACCGATCTCCTAGCAATCGAGCAAGCAGGAATTAATTGCTCTCTCGTCAGCTGAAGCAGAATATATTGCACTCTGCTCAGCCACCAAGGAAGGACTCTATCTTCGCGAGCTGCTGGAAGAAGCGAAGTTAGCCGAGTTACCCAACTTCACTCTGTTCTGCGACAACCAATCTGCAATTCGCATCGCCAACAAAAATGGATTCGCGAACAGAACGAAGCATATCGCTCTGCGATATTTCTTCGTTAAAGACGAGATTGAGAAGGGGAGACTTGAACTATCCTACTGTCCCACGTCCGAGATGGCAGCTGACTACTTGACCAAGAAGCTCGGAAAACAGAAGTTCGAGTACTGCATGCTGCTGACTGGACAAAGCCACGTCACCAGCAGCGACACTCCAGAAGCGAAGGGGAGTGTTGGGAACAAACAATCTTAAGCGCCTCTGTCGTGTCGAAACACCAAGGCACAAGCGAAGCAGAGCATATCGAGGCACCAGCGAGTCAACCCTCGGAGGTTGAAGTAACCGCTGGAGGTTACGCGAAAGTCAAAGGTCAGCGACCTTTGACTTGACAAATGCAGCACGACAGCAAGGACACACAACTGACTCGACATTGAGCAGTTGCCCGAGTCGCACTGTATCGAACCGCAACAGTAAAACAGTTTAATTATATCTCTTCGTATTCTTTGTACTCTTATATAAACCTTTGTACTTGCTTGTTTTAATCAACTTACTTTGCCCTCACATACCAGCGCAAGGTGGTTCAAGGACTTCATTTAAACGCTTCCGCTACTACATCACTCTACCCAGAGTTTAACCCTACCAAAGATCCTAAGGGGCACTCAGCCCAACAACAGGCACTTCCATCATTCGCTCTCTAATACGGTACAGCGGCGGCAGACGGGGGCGAGATTGGTGACGCAACACCATCACCACCATCAACATCACTATGAGCATTGGCAGGCTCAGTCTCACACGCAGCTGCAACGGTAGTGATGGTGCAGGACGCAGCTGCAACGGTAGTGATGGTGCAGGACGCAGCTGCAACGGTAGTGATGGTGCAGGACGCAGCTGCATCCGAGACAACGCCACCATCAACACCGGCAGCAGCGTCGCCACCAGCAACAGCAGCAGCAGCAGTACCACCAACAGCACCACCTGACCCGCAAATCATCCCCAAGATCTGCCAAGGTAAAGCCAGGCAGAAGTCCTTCTGGTTCCCACCAGCTGCCATGCTTGGTTGGTGATACTGTTGCTACCGTAGGAGTATTTTCCCCATGCGCTCTGCAATGGAGTGGAGTGGAGCTGTTGATTGGTAACGGTTGCAATTTGAGATGAAAAACCCATGTACTCTTTGAGATTGCAGGCAAATCAGCTAGGTATCACATTCCTGACATATGAACAAGCCTAACACATCTATCCACCAAGGTCATTCTGTCTGGTAGAGCAGGCACCTTGCAGTACCCTGCCTCACCGTTCTGCAACCCTAAAATCCCATCGTCAGCACGTAAAACGGTGTAGTAACTCATGCGCCCCGCACGCGTAACCAGTCTCCATTGCAACAATTATTCACCATCCACTGCGCGCCGACAGCAGCTCCTCTAGATGGGGCAGCCCACCCACCCACTCCAGTTTTGAGTTGCCCTCACTGCTTCTTCCCCTCGCCCCCTTGCCGCGCCGCCAGCAGCTCCTCTAGATCTGCCAATCCACCCACTCTCTCCAGCTCGCCCGGCCCCAGGAACAGCCCAAACGGCACCCCCTTGAACTTGTCCGCGTGGTGCAGCTGGTGGGGGGAAGGGGGGCGGGAGGGGTGGAAGCAGAGAGTAAGATCAGGGGAACAAGGGCACCCGTCCGCCCACCAGCCCCAGCTCGCCCGGCCCCAGGAACAGCCCAAACGGCACCCCCTTGAACTTGTCCGCATGGTGCAACTGTTACACCAGGGAGGGGAGGGGGAGAGACAAGTGGTAAGAGTGCGAGATTGGTCAGGGCCAAAGCATATCGTCCCCCCATCCACTCCAGCTCGCCCGGCCCCAGGAACAGCCCAAACGGCACCCCCTTGAACTTGTCCGCATGGTGTAGCGCTGGTGTGAGGGGGGAGAGCAAGGAGAGAAGGAGAGGGTAAGGTCAGGGGAACAAGGGCATTCGTGCACCCAACCCTCTCCCAGGAACAGCCCAGGCAGCACGTGATTGAGCTCGTCAGCGTGATGCAGCTGTGAGGGCAGGGAGGGGAGGCCGAGGGAGAGGAGGTAAGGGTGCGATGAAGGAGGGGGTTAGGCAGGAGCAACTGTGTCACGGGAACTCGCCCGCCCACTCTCTGGATCGTTTGGGCCCAGGAACAGCCCAAACGGTGTAAGAAGGGAGAGGTGCAGCCGGTGAGGAAAGGAGTGGAGAGGAAAGGAATGGAGAGGAAAGTGTGCAAGGGGGGGGGACCATACTAGGAGAAAGGAAAAAGCAAGCGAACAAGCGAACCTACCAAGGGTTGGAGCGACAGCGAAGAGCATGGATGGGGAGAGACACCAATGCCGACAGGGCAGGCATACCTGGTGGGCGGCAGCGACTCGCTTCAAGTACGGGACGTCAGCGATGAACCCACTGGGAATGCTGGTGTTACCTTTGAGGCGCGCACCAATGCTGGCAGGGCAGGGCAGGCATACCTGGTGGGCGGCAGCGACTCGCTTGAGGTACGGGACGTCAGCAATGGGGCCCACTGGGAATCTCCGGTGCACCAGCCCGTCGTGCACGAACATGTAGGCCATTCCGAACACCGTGATGCCCAGGCCCTGTGGGGGGAAGGCGGAGGGAAGAGGGGAGCGATAAGGAACAAAGGGTGGGAGGCAAGGACACGTTGAAACACGAGCTCGTCGTGCACGAACATGTAGGCCATTCCAAACACGGTGATGCCCAGGCCCTGTGGGGGGAAGGTGGAGGGGAAGGGGACGCGAAACGGGAACGGCATGAGCAGAGCGTGTGGGAAGGCGGAGGGCACGGAAGGCAGAGGAGCGGGAAGAGAGACGAAGGCAGACGCCAGCGTAAGGTGAAGGGAGGTGGAACGTGGAGCGTGGCTTTGAACGGCGCCACATCGGAGGCGGGAAATAGTGCGGGGCGAATTAGCCGTCGGCAAGCCGGGAGGGCAGCGAGGGTGGAGCAGGGTAAACGAGAGAAGGAAACAGACGCGCCTCGGAAAGATAAAAGTTAAAAAGGCGCTGCGTCGTACGGCGCCGAAGCAGACGCTGGGGACGAGTCGACGGTTGAAGAAGTCGTACGTAAGGCGGGAGGAGTGCGAGGGGCAAGCAGGCAGAAGGAGAAAAGGCAGTTCGGCGCGCCTAGGCGAAAGAGTTTATGAGGTGCGGCAACGTACGGCGCCGAAGCAGAGGCCGGGGACGAGCCCCGGGTTGAAGAAGCCGTAGGCGATGAGCGCGATGGCGGGCACGGCGTTGATGATCGCGAACACGTCGTTCAGCTCGAACGCGCCCTCCCGCGGCTCGTGGTGCGACTGGTGGGGAGAAGGGAGAGGGAAGGCAAGAGGTTAGCCGAGATGAACAAGCTGATCACGCACGAGGCTCGGCATTGGCTCGGCTCGTCACGGACGGGAACAAAAATGTCAAGCGGGATCTGAGGGTGGTGCCACGCGAAACAGACCAACATTTTGAACGAGCAAGTGATGGCAGCCCGGCTCTCACACAGAGCGATCTGATTGTCATTGGATTTAAGATTAATGCCAACTCATGCATTGCCGTTATTGCCTTGTACACAGTTAGCAAAGAGCCCCCGTTACCTTGTGCATGCTCCACAGGGATCCGTGCCACAGCGCGTCGTGCGCCCATCGCGCCCAGAACTCCATCCCCACGGCCGCGCCAATCACGAGCGCCACCGTGCCCACCACCTCCTCTATGGGGACCGTCGCGCCCTGCACGCACCCAGTGAAGCCGCATATTAATCCTTAATGATAAAAGAAACACTTGTTTGAGCAAAACCATTGACTTTGGGCGGTTTTGGTTTCTAACTTTGATATACGAGAGTGAAATGGTTGGTTATCAATACTTCAGCCATTTTCGCCTGATCGCGCTATGAGTGCAGCTTACCTGCGTCTGGAAGACGAAGCGGTACCAGACGGCGCCGACAGCGAGGAACGTGACTCCCACACTTGACGCTATCGCGGCCAGCTGGTACGTGGATCGCTCGCTTTGTCGCCGCCTCTTCCGCTCCAGCGCCGTTTCTGAAAGACCCGCCGACGCGGCGGCTGGAAGGCTCTCCGCAACAGCCGCTGCGATCTTTATTTTCTCGTCTTCGAGGAGAGTCGGTTCGTCCAATGTAGATCCGTTGGCGGTCTGCGGCGATCTGGTTTTAGGCATTTCAGCCACGGCGTAAGTGACGAGGCGCCTGGATCGCTGCACGAGGGACACTTCTCGTACGGCGTGCACGCGGCATTCTGTTCCCACCGAAAAAGACTTTGACGGGACGGAGGCTCTTAGCGAGCAGCCAGCAACAGCTACGCAACTCATGGTGAGACAAGTATCGGAGAAGATAAGAGCTTGGAGTGGGGAACGGTATCTGGCGATGCTTTACTGGAGAGGCTTTTTACGAAGAGAGGTGAGTCTCACTATTATGATCCGAGAGTTTGGCTTGAGAAGGTCATTCCCTGATATGCGCTCGCAAAATCTCCCTCCCAGGCGGACTCCCTGCTTGATGGTCGGCAAAGGAATCAGGCAGCAGCAAGCAGCCTGAGGAGCTGCGGTGTTCTCAAGGCGAAGCAACGAACGAATGGAAGAACAAGCACTGAAGGAATGAGGGCCAGCGAAGAAATGCGGATCATAATGCAGGCAAGTGAGAGGGCGAGAATGTGATTACGATGATCTCTGCGATCGCGGACTCGTGTGAGCGTCGCCCCCCTCAAAGTGCTCTCCATTTGCCAAAACCCAAGAGCTTGGCCACGTCGTCACTAGCCACGCAGTAGAAATTCTTTTCGAGAGTTCCAACCAATGAAGTGCACTCTTCTGTCGATGTGGCAAAGTTTCTTTGGCTTTCTGGTGTGGTTGGAGCTATTTTTGGGACCACCTGTCGCACGCTTTTCATCATTACGAAGTCATTCTCGCATGTGTGGTGGAGCGCTCCCGCCACATCGGACCAGCGCATCTCATCCATCCAATCTACAGTCTCGGTGAGGAGTACCTCCAGAAACTGGGGGAACTGCGGCCCTGTTCGACAGCGAGGGTACCCCGCCAGAAACGCTTTGAGGTGACCTCGTTGGTTGGGCGGGAAACGGTTTGCGACCCCCTGCGACGACTCATAATTCCCGCCAGCGCGAACGACCCCCCTGCGATGTCCTTGGTTTCCCGCCCAGCTGCTAAAACATGGCGGGAATTTTAACGGGGTGGTTTGACACCACAGCGCGCAGTAACAGTGACTGTCGCCTAATCATTACAGCCCATCCCTGGTAAAATTTCAGACCATTACCAGACCATTGCCAATGTTACTTTTCAAATAAGTGGCCCCAATGCCAGACCAATGGGCTATTTAGGGATAGTCGCGCCAAACAAAAGGTATAAACCAGTTGCACCACAAATCCTTTCGACACACCTAACTAATGCTGGAACCGATCTGGAATACTCTATACATTTTCAGCACAAACATTTGGGTGAGGCTTTTGTTTTTACGTAGACCGTCGAACCCCCGGGCAGACCCCGCGGCTGGAAACAGTCCGCTTCAAAGGGTCGTTGAGGTGGAGCTTTTCGACCACATCGGCCGTCTTCGGGTCGGCCAAAATGATTACACTGCCGGCGCTGTCCCACCACTTGCATTTTGTCGCGACGCTGAACCATTTGGGCGACAGAGCCAAACCAAATGGTTGCATCGTGGGGGCCCCAAAGTGCTATCGAACAGGGCCTGCATGGGACTTTGCGGTGCACATCAACTGGAACTATCCATCCTAGAAAGATGGTCAGAGGAGGTACCCTTAGCACCAGCGTATCCGTGTGTGGTGGAGTTCTCTTACACTGTAACGGAGCATCAGCAAAGCCTTGCAGCGCAGCTCCATATGATGAGGACTTGAATCTTGTACAGTACATGAAAAACATTATCAACGGAACATATATGTAGCATACACAGGGAGCCACATTTGTTTTGACCTAGAAGTTGGGGCAAACTGGCGGGAACCACTGTCAGGGAACACCTCGTCAGCGAATGGGCAGTTGAGAAGGTGGTGCCGTGCTAATACGCGACACGCGTGTGAGTCAAACTCCACCGTCGATCTCATCGCGCTGTTGGCGGCAATTATCCGACGGTGGAATCATGCCAGTGATTGGCAGTTGTTGCTGCAGGCGATGCGGGATCCCGTCAGCGAAGAGGCACACAGCATGGGAAATGCCTGCCAGAATTATTCATGGCTCATGACTGATGAGCAATGGAGAGCAGAGCTCCATGAGAACAGGTAGCATAGGGGAAGTGCGGGAACATGATGGCCCTGTTCGCCAGCACATTTGAAAATTTACGGTATGAATGATTGATATCAGTGCGTCCTCCATCACTTGTAATATGAATTTCTGGACAACATACTTGTCTCCGACGCAGGTTCCAGTGATAAGATCGAAATTAGTAGATTAGGTCTCAGATAGACGGCAGTACCGACGTGTGGTACACTCACGTGCTTCATCGGTGAACGCTAATTCCCTTAGCGTGAAGCTGCATTCGATTGGTGCTATTTTGAACTCTCAGGTGGCTCATAGATCCTTCGCCCCAGCGCTTCAACGATTAGTTTTGTTCTTAACTTAAATCGTTACTTCCTTTATCTTTCCAGATCAAATGGCGCACTACTGCGTAAAAAGTCCCGCCAGATTTCAAGAGACGAATCCAGCAGAGCAGAGACGGCACGTAACTTCATCCAGTTCACCGTCATCTTCGGAACCGTCGATTAATCTACAAACTCCTACCATCGGTCCCAAGTCAGCAGGCTCTGATGACGCCGTGTCTCCTCCTCTCGTCTTTCCTCTGCTCGACAGCCAATCATCCAATCAGGTCACTCCCGAGCTCCGGCCGAGCCAACCCCGAAACGGCACCGGACGCAAGATTGACGTGGAAAATCTCCCTAATCTATCCGCCTCACCCGTTCCTAAGACACGTCTCTTTGACTTGCCTGAGTGTAGTACAGGTCGTAAGTTCCGGCTGTCGAAGTCCATCGGAGAGATCTCGATAATGCCTCCCGTGGTGATGTCCGAAGGACCCTGTAACACGAGAGCGAGAAGCTTTAAAGCGAGGACAGGCGAGCACGAGCTCCTTGATGGGCTGAAGCAGCGATGGAGAGGCCTCGGCGCCGACAATAACGAGTTCCAAAATGACGGCTTGCAATGTGCTGGTTACCACATCGCGAAGCACGACGAGGAAAACGCGATCGCACGCGCGGGAATCACGGACCGAAGCGCTGCGATAAGGAGAACCTGCAGCGAAGCTGCGGCTCAGCTTCACGCCGCACTACCCGGCGACGGTTCCTCCGACATCCTCCGTCGAGAGGCTCGTACCGCGGTGGTCGATCCGTCTCCGTCTACGTCTGCTCCATCCGCGGGTGAAGTCCCTCCGCCGTTCAAGCCATGGAGAACGAGCCGGCATCCAAACCAAAAGCGGCCGACTCAGCACGGTAGTGTGGATCAGCGACCGCCGCTGGCGCAGCAGCCGTGTCGGCCGAAGCACTATCAACCCGATGAGCGTCGTCTGTACGAACAGCAGCCACTAGAGACTCAGCAGCAGCAGCAGGAGTTGCGGCGGATAGGCGTGTCAGGACCCCGGTCCCTCTACAGGAGCGAAAGCGCGTTTCCCGCGCTTTTTCTCGAGCAGATTGACGGCGACAGCGCTGACAGACCGTCGGATCATGCTGACGTGGCGGGCGGCCTTGGTGGCCGTCAGCAATTGGAGGAGAGTGTCGGTCGCACGGTGTCGCTCGAGCAGTCCGCCCTCGAGGCCCTCGCAGCGCCGTTCAAAGTTCCCCACACCCCTCCGCGCGGTCAGAAGACGCGCCGCTTCCCTACCAGCCGAAGCGAGAGCAACGCTCACAACAGCAGCAGCAGCGGGCTCGGCAGCCACAGCAGCAGCAGCAGCAGCAGCACCACCACCACCACCACGGGACACAGCTTCTGCACACCGACGGTCAGTCGCAGCAAATCAAGGTACACCCCAGCACGCGGCATCAGCGCCAGGCCTTCCCCCGTTCCCCCGATCGTCATCAGTCCGGCTGTGCGCGCCTCTGCGGATTCTTTCGCCAACCCCCGCGTCTCTTCCCCCAGCCTCCGCCCGCTCGTTTTCTCCCCCCCAGTCTCATCCCCCGCGCGCGGAACCTCCCCGTTCGGACCAGCGTTGGTGCGGGAGACAGTCTCTACAGTGGAGCTGAGCGCGCGGGGGGACGCGGGGAGCTATGCAGGGGGAATATTGGGGGAAGAGGGGGACGGCGCGGAGGAGGGGGAGCGGGAGTTCACGCGGCACGTGTTGGGGCGGCCGTACGCGGAGCTTGAGGCGCGGTATGAGGTGGCGGAGGGGGAGCTGGGGCGGGGGAAGGTGGGCGCGCTGCGCGCGTGCAGGTGCCGCGCGACTGGGCGGCAGTTCGCGTGCAAGACCATCAGCAAGGCCGCCATGATTGTGAGTGCCATCGTTAGTGTTAGTGATAGTACATTTCCCATTGCTCGCATCGCGTGCAAGGCCATCAGCAAGGCCGCCATGATTGTGAGTGCCATCGTTAGTGTTAGTGATAGTACATTTCCCATTGCTCGCATCGCGTGCAAGACCATCAGCAAAGCCGCCATGATTGTGAGTTCCGTTCGTTTCTGAGTCGTCAAAAAACGCCGTTGCTTCCTCCCCGACCGTTCAAGTAACTTTCGGCCCCATGATTGTGAGTTGCATTATGATTCTGGAATCTTTCAGAATGCCATCGCTAGTGATGGATAGTGCATTGATAGTGCAGATCCCGTTGCTCGCATGGCACGCACTGATAAGTGCGTCACGCAATGTGTCCTCTTGCCCCGAGGCTTCTGTGCGACGATAGAGTATCTTGCGCCCCCGTACCCTCTTCGCTTGCGCCGAGCGCTCATTTGCGCCCGCGCTGCGCGCCCTAACCCCCCGTCGTTCCCCCGCCCCCCATGCTGCGCCAAACCCCCGCGCAGTGTGAGGCGGAGTGTGACGAGGTGCGGAGGGAGGTGCAGATGATGCAGCGCGCGCGCGGGCACCCGCGCATAGTCAGCATGCACGAGGCGCTCGAAGACGCGCGCGCCGTCCACATCATCATGGAGCTCTGCCACGGTGGCGAGCTCTTCCACCGCATCGTGACACGTCAGCGCTACAGCGAGCCCGCGGCCGCCAGCGTGGCGCGCCAGCTGGCGTCGGCGCTGGCGTTCCTGCACGCGCGGGGAGTGGCGCACCGGGACGTGAAGCCGGAGAACATTCTGCTGTGCTCGCGCGCGGACGACACGAGCATCAAGCTCACCGACTTTGGGGCCGCCGCGCTGCTGCTGCCTGGTATGTGTTCCTCCCCACCCATTTCCCTCCGCCCATTCCCCTCCGCCCATTCCCCTCCGCCATTCCCCTCCGCCATTCCCCTCCATCAATTCCCTCTCCAATCACCGGGATGTGAAGCCAGAGAACATTCTGCTGTGCTCGCGCACTGACGACACGAGCATCAAGCTCACGGACTTTGGAGCCGCCGCGCTGCTGCTGCCTGATAGGTGTTTTCCCCCACCCAGTTCTCTCCACCCATTCCCGTCACCCCATTCCCCCCTACCCCATTTCCCTCACCTTATTCGCCTCCGCCCACTCTCCATTCCCCCTTCCCGCCCAACCTCTCCTCCCCTCCCATTGCCTTCCGCCCATTCCCCTCTTCATATCCTCTCCACCATCCCTCTCCAACCAAGCCCTTTCCCCCATCCCGCTCCAGCCCATCCCCCGCCATCCATCCCCCACTCCCCATTCCCCTTGGTATCCACCCCTCACTACACTCGCACAATGCATAGAGCCAGTGGGCTCGCCCTGTTGCTCAGCCCCCGAGGTGCTGACAGAGCAGTATTCAGGCCCCCAACCATCCTTCTGCGCACCCCTCACTACACTTGCAGCACAATGCATAGAGCCAGTGGGCTCGCTGTATTGCTCAGCGCCCTAGGTGCTGACAGAGCAGCACGGGTTGCCGGCCCCCATCCATCCTTCTGCGCACCCCTCCCTACAGGCACACAGTGCACAGAGTGAGTAGGCTCGCCCTATTATATGGCCCCGGAGGTGCTGACAAAGCAGTATAGGCTGCAGGCGGATGTTTGGAGCCTCAAACCACCTTCTCTTCTTCTCATTCACCTCCGCCTGCTCCCTTCCAGGCACACAGTGCACAGAGAGGGTAGGCTCGCCCTACTACTTAGCCCCCGAGGTGTTATCAGAGCAGTATGGGCCGCAGGCAGACATGTGGAGCCTCAATCAACCTTCTCTTCTTTTTCCCATTCGCCTATGCCCCACTGCACACCCATTCCTACAGGCACACAGTGCACCGAGCGAGTGGGCTCGCCCTACTACTTAGCCCCTGAGGTGCTGACAGAACAGTATGGGTTGCAGGCGGACGTGTGGAGTGCAGGGGTGGTGCTCTTTGTCCTGCTCTCGGGCTCGCCGCCCTTCTTCTCCCCGTTCACCTGTGCCTGTTTCTTTCTCCCCAAACCCGCTGCACACCCCTTCCCTCCAGGCACACAGTGCACAGAGAGGGTAGGCTCGCCCTACTACTTAGCCCCTGAGGTGCTATCAGAGCAGTATGGGTTGCAGGCGGACGTGTGGAGCGCGGGGGTGGTGCTCTTTGTCCTGCTCTCGGGCTCGCCGCCCTTCTTCTCCCCGTTCACCTGTGCCTGTTTCTTTCTCCCCAAACCCGCTGCACACCCCTTCTCTCCAGGCACACAGTGCACCGAGCGAGTGGGCTCGCCCTACTACTTAGCCCCTGAGGTGCTGACAGAACAGTATGGGTTGCAGGCGGACGTGTGGAGTGCAGGGGTGGTGCTCTTTGTCCTGCTCTCGGGCTCGCCGCCCTTCTTCTCCCCGTTCACCTGTGCCTGTTTCTTTCTCCCCAAACCCGCTGCACACCCCTTCCCTCCAGGCACACAGTGCACAGAGAGGGTAGGCTCGCCCTACTACTTAGCCCCTGAGGTTCTATCAGAGCAGTATGGGTTGCAGGCGGACGTGTGGAGCGCGGGGGTGGTGCTCTTTGTGCTGCTCTCCGGATCGCCACCCTTCTCTGGCCGCTCCAACGACGAGATCTTCCAGGCCGTCCGATGCAAGGAGATCGACCTCGCGAGCAAGCCCTGGCCGTCGATCTCGGAGGGAGCGAAGGATCTCGTCCGTCGGATGCTCACGAGGGACCCTGAGGCGAGGATCACCATGAAAGAAGTGCTCGGTGAGTGGGTGGGCTGCTTAGGGTAGGGGTGGAGGAACCACGCTTTGAGGTGTTGGATTGAAATTTATCTCATCAGGGGGAACAGGGCTATGCGTGGGTGGTAGTTTCTTTCTGAGCTGTATGTGCTGTATTGCGAAACTGATGGGGCAGCCAGATGGAAAAATGCACGTGCACAAGCGGCAGCACAAGCGTGAGTGGTGTGGTGACTAAAAATCTGAGGCGAGGGTCACCATGGAAGAGGTGCTCGGTGAGTGGCTGCGCTGCATCAGTTGGGGCTGGTGGGGCCAAAGCTTCGAGGGAACAGGGCCATGCTCACGAGGGACCCCGAGGCGAGGGTCACCATGGAAGAAGTGCTGGGTGAGTGGCTGGGCTGCTGGGGCTGGAGGAGTTGGAAATGTTGAATGGATGGTGACATTTGAGTCGCCTCAAAACTCACAAGGGACCCCGAGGCGAGGGTCACCATGGAAGAAGTGCTGGGTGAGTGGCTGGGCTGCTGGGGCTGGGGCTTGTGGGGCCAAAGCATTGAGGGAACAGGGCCATGCAGGGGTCGCATCATTGAGCTGCATGTGAATCATGGCGAAACTTATGGGGCAGCCAAATGCATCTGCCCAAGCAGCATCACAACCATGATTGGTGAGTGGGGATCACAGCCATGAGCCCCAACTGTGAATCACAGATGTGATTGACACCAGTGCATGCCAGGTGATTGCTTGGCATCACTTTGAGGCGGGCTGCATGGATGAGCGGCACCATATAACCCTTTATCCCCAAACCGCCCCGCGTTGGGTGTTGGAACGAGAAGCCTCTGTTTCACAACAAGCCCTTTGGTAGGTGTTCCATCTCATCCCTGCTCCATTGTCCCGCCATCATCAGCAATTACCAAACCATTCCCAGGACCATGGTGATGTGCTGTGCTCGTGGCAGGCTATTTTTCCTCACCAGCATGTAGTGAGGCGGTATTATAGGCCCCTCGAAAATCGACACCATAGAGCAATTTCTAAACCACCCGCAGGATGTGCAGCACTCTCTGCAGCGTGTTCTGCCATGAGTTTCTTGCTATTCCTTTCAGTGACCACCATTCTCCCCGATTCTTGCAACTCTGGTTCCGTGCAGATCACCCATGGATCTGTGGCCATGCCGAGAGTGCATCTACATGACTTGGTGGCATATGTAGTGGGAACAGTGTAGTACGTTAGGCTTTTCTCCGTTGCAGTCTACGATCTGTGGAGCCCAAAAGCGTTAGTCCACACTTTAGGTAGAGGGATGCTGTTCATGGCAGTGGTAATAGCATGCTGTGCTGTGGTTACTAGTTGTAATAGGTTCGGTGATTGAAGTGCTATGAGGGAAGAGGCAGGGCTCTCGCTAGGATTCAGGCCTGTCTGACAGGATGGGTAAAAAAAAAAAAATCGTCTTACGCTCAGATTGGCGCTTTTTTTTTCGTCTGACCTCTAGGACGAAACAATAACACAAGTCTGATTAGACAGATGAACTATTCTACGTGGTCTACACTAACTACATCAATTCTACAACATACAATGTGAAAACTAAGTATCATTTCACCATTCTACGTATCAGTCAGACTCGCTACCACAATCATCAGCATCACTACAGCTGTTTAGGCTATCAGACGGCACTGGAATAGGATAGTTAGCATTCCCCTTGCGACTGAGCCAGGGGAACTCTGCATCCAGCCTGGCTGCTTCTGCTACTGCTGCCGCTTCGCGTGCTGCTGCCTCTGCCGCAGCCACAGCAGCTGCTGCTGCTGCTGCGTGGGCCTCTGCTGCTGCTGCGGATCTTCTTTTATTGCGCTTGCTCTCCCTCTCCACTCCCGCCAGCAACACATCCTTTGCAGGCCTCCTCTTCTTGGATTTGCGCCACCGAGCCACCAACTCGGGCCACTCCATGTAGCTCAGAAGAGACACGGTCATGAGCTCACCAAGCTTGGCGTCGCACAGGTTCCCCCTCAGCCAGCTCTTGATCACGTTTTGCCGCGAGAACCCGCGCTCGCACTCCACAGTGCTCAGCGGGAGCACGGCTACAGCGATCCACAGGCGGACAATGTTGGGGTAGCTCGTTGTCCAATCTGGTGAGGAGAGCATGTGCTTCAGGCCCTCCGCGAAGCCGACATCCTCCTGGTGGGTGCTCATGATTGTCGCGAAGGTGTTGAGCTCCCTCTGTGCTTTGGCCCAGTCCACACCTGTACGAATGGGCGGGTGAATAGAGGAAGACAAAGATGCGGCCGCATGAATACAAATGTAACGCGACGCGGTTTCAAAACGATTAAGCCCGAGATCTCACGACAATACGCCTAACACACCTGGCAGAGTGTCCGGATCCTCGGGATGCTTCTTGTACATGTCGCGCAGCGACTGCAACCACTGCGCCAACCGTCGCTCGCGCTTAGCCTGTGACTTGGGGTATTGGGACTTCTTGAAGAGCTTCGCGCCATTGAGCGACGCGAGATCATGCAGTCGGTAGTCGAGCTGCTTAATCAGCTCAACAACGAAGTCCCGCCCGAGCTTCAAACAGGAGCTGAGGTCGCCTTTGCTCTGCTGCCCCACGATAGCCTCTTCGTGCAGCAGGTAGCGGTGAGTTGTTGGCACTCCGGTGGAATCTAGGCCATCAACCTTCACCTCCCGACACTTCCCCGAGGCATGTTTTGCCAAGAATGGACCCAGCGCAGCGCCGCTTTGCCCGAACGTCTCGTCGTTGCTGTCGAGGTAACGAGTCCGCAGCAGGAGTGTTGTGTTGTGTACCGTCTGCAGCACATGGGTGGCGTCAATCTGCACAAGCATGAAGCAGAAATGGTTAGATTGTGACTATGGTTTACGAAGGCGGTTGCAAGCGTAAACATTAACGCGTACCTGTCGTTGCTGGAACTTCAAGTTGAGCAGGTTCAGCTCCTTCAACACATCGGCAAGCAAGTAGAGTAAGAAATGGAATTTGAAACTAGTCACTGTCGCGTACATCTTTTTGTCGAATTCCTGCAAGACGATCACAACCGCAGGAAACACCGCGACGAGTCGCTGGATCGCATTGCCTCGGGAAAGCCACCTCACGTCCTTGATGCCCTGCATCTCCAAATGTGTCTCGCAAATGACCTCTTGCAGCTCCTTGAAACGCGTATGGACCACAAGGCGCCCGAGAATGTCGACCACAGACCGGACCGCCTTGTCCACAATCTGGAGGTCAGGGAACGCGGTTGCTGCATCTTTTGCTGCCAGCGCCTCCCTGCATGAATCAACCGAAACACGTTAGTACACGCAAGATAGGCAAATCAACATACAACTTGGTATAACTCGCCTGTGAGCAACACAGTGGCACGAAACGAGATGAGGAATCTTCGTGCGCAGGCGCGCGACCAACCCGTTGTGCTGGCCCGTCATCACAGAAGCGCCGTCTGTGCTCATACCGCTAATGCGCTGCAGATCGATGCCCGCCGTCTCAAAATGCGTTAGCAGGCCAGTTAGCAGCGAGGCGGCGTCACACTGCTCCACTGAGAGCAGGGTGTAGAACTCCGTGACTGGAAGGTTGTCGCGCACGAAGGTCATGTATACTATCATATGCTTCCCGCGCCTACGGTCCGTGCTCTCATCCAGCTGGATCCCGAGAAAGGGGATGGCGCGGATGTACTGCAGCTGACGGGACCGCATGTATGACACCATCGTCGCCACTAGCTGTGCAAAACCGTACCTGTAACACAAAAACAATAGGGGCGTGAGCATGGTGGAGCAGACACACAGACATAAGCGGGATACATAAATTTTACTCACTCGCTGTAGTACGTGCCGTTTTCCTTCAAGGGCATGTCCGGCGTGCCCTGCTCAGCCATGAATTGAACAAGAGCAACGAAAAGCACAATAGGGGCGTCAGATTTGCAGATGAAGAGAGCGATTGCCATTAATCGAGCAATTCGCCTGGCGTCGTCGTCACCCTTGTCGAAGGTTGTCATGGACTTCTGGCCTTTCTTAAGGCCATCACGTTGTTCCTTCTGCAGCACCGCGGCCTCGTGCTTCACGCTGAAATGATGCTTGCGCATCGTCTGCTTCTGAATGTCGAGGCCGCCTTCACCGTAGCGGCCGTACTTGTAGTGCGGGTCCCCGAACACCATACAGACGCTGCAGCGCATGCACGGTCGCCCGTCCTTCGTCTCACTGATGAAGAGCCACGGGAAATAGCGAAGCCACTGCTCCTTACACTTGAGCTGAACAGCTTCCACAGAGAGCGGCCGACGTCCCTTGGTTTTGCCCTTGTCCTCTTCTTCCGAATCGTCATCGGCGGATTGACGAGTCGTGGGCGGGACCGTCTCCGATGGCGCGGGCAAGGTAGGACCTGCGGGACGGGCAAAGTTAAGCATCCTCTGCTTGTATTTAGCTTTCAGTGAAGCCCTGTCAGGCAGCACAGGGTTAGCCCGAAGATTGGTGGTTGTTGCAACAGAAACAACAGGGCGGATGGATTCACGGCCGGATGTAGGCGAGCTTGTCGACGTGGGTGTGGTAGCCTTGGGCATGCCATCGTCCGCCTTTTCTTCGGCCACAGTGTCTGGTGATGCGTTGGTTGGGGGTATAACTTGGGTTGAGCACGAGGCAACGTGGGGTGCAACGACGGGGATCGACTTGCCCCGTGTGAGAAAATCTAGCGCTGAGACTCCAGGGGGGTCTAACTCCTCTGGAATGGCCATCAGGGGGTATGGCGAAAGTGGAAAACTGCACTGCGGGGCCAGTCGAGTGCAGCGGAAGAAAAGGATGTAGAAGATGGACGGTGTGCCCCCAGCCTGGTCCCTCAAACCCTCGTCCCGTAGCGCGGCAGAGTGATACGCAGTGCGAGTGTGGGCGGGGAACCACAGTTACGTGCATCCGCGATGCATACAGGTCACCCCATCGCACAAAAGGACAGTGTCGGTGCCTGGGTGTAGCTGGCATCGGCGCCGACACCCACGCAGCGACAAAGTGCTGGCAGCATCTGACATGGCTAACTGCTGCCAGCGGTGCTGTTTCCTCCAACGCGGATGCTACGGGACAGAAGCATTCATTACGCATGCATGTATAGATACTGGCAGATACCCTAACTAGTGGCCCTATGGACAAGTGGGCACAAATGTCGGTTTCAGACGGAATCGTACTCGTTATCTGGATTCTCAGATGAAGAATAGTATGCGATCTGAAAATTTATCTCAAGTAAAATCATTTGTCTTACTGATCATCTGAAAATAAAATCACAGTCTTACAGATCATCTGAAATAAGAAAATGAAGTCTGAAACGCAGACCATCAGACCAAATTGGTCTGATAACGAGGAAACTGGGAAGAGGGTAGCTTCTATCGTAGGATCCTGCAGGTGAACTAGTTAAGCTGCCACATATAATTCAGGTTCTCCAGAGCTTCTTTCTCATTGATAATATGATTTTATTTAATTGCTAAACTATGGAAACTTTCAGTGACCTGATGGCATAGCAGTGCACTGGAACATGCAGTCGCCACCCCAAGCAAATCAAGGTTCATAAACCCTGCAGGAAAGGTTTCGATTGTATAACTACGGTATTGAGCAGCACTTAGCAGTGTAGCTATCGCACATAATCCCATTACAGCTATATTGGTCATTCTACAGTGAGAATGTTGTTCTCCAGCATACCGTGACCCACGGTGGGCCACTCTGTCGCCACTCTCCACTCACCGTCCACCAGAAACTTGATCTCGTACCTGCACACATGCATGCCCGTGCACAAATGCACACGCAGATGCACAGTAGGATGCAAGGACAGAAAGATGGGGGAGAAGGGATTAATATTGCATCATGCCGTGGCCCACCGTGGGCCAATTTGTCGTCACTCTCCACTCACCGTCCACCAGAAACTTGATCTCGTACCTGCACACAGTTGAATGCACGCACACAAAAGCTGAATTCAGAATGACCTCGCAAGAAGCAGCCTCGACATGACGCAAGTGATCATGGGATGGGGGAAGGCCATGAGAGTGGCATGGCACACAGGAATGCAGTGGCCCTGTGAGAAGAGTGGATCATGCGCCCGAGCAACGAGTCGATGGGGTGGTGAGCAGCCATGAGCAACTGCTTGAGCACATCGGCGTATCACGACACGGTGCCGGTGGTCCCAGGAGACATCTGCTCTTCATGAGCTGCCTGGGGAATAGCTTGCCCTGGGCTGCAGCTTGGGCATGGCGATGAGAGGTGATGAGTTGTGATGAGTGGTGGTGAGCGGTGGTGAGTGGTGAGCCGTCCATACGTGCCCGGGCGCTGCTTGATCACAGTCGTGAAGCAGGTCATGGTGCCGGTGGTCTCAAATCTCGTTTGAGAATTCTCAAAAAGGATATCTGCTCTGATGAGCTGCCTTTGGAACAGGCTGTCCATACCTACCCCGAACCTCAGCCTGAGAGCGGTGCAGTACAGTGGTGAGCGGTGGTGAATGACGGAGATCGGTGGTGAATGGTGGTGAGCGGTAGCTAGAGGTGAGCCATCCTTACCTCCCAGGGCGCAGCTTGAGCACAGTGGTGAATCGAGTCATGGTGCCGGTGGTCTCAGGAGACATCTGCTCACCGTACGTCCAGCCGTCAAACGACCCCATCACCTTCACGTCCTCCGCCATGCCAAACCACACCAAGGGGACCTCCCGCAGCCGCAGCTTCTCGATTCCCTCCAGCTGCTGCCTCAGGTCGGAATAGAGCTCTGAAGGTGGGGAGCGAGCGAGGGGGAGCGGTAGGACGAATGGGAAGGGAAGGGGAGCGAGGGGAGTGAGGGGATGTGGGTGAGAAGCGGAAGCACACTGGAGGCACCTCCTCTGCGGCCGTACGGCCAGCCGTCGAACGACCCCATCACCTTCACATCCTCCGCCATGCCAAACCACACCAGAGGCACTTCACGCAGGCGCAGCTTCTCGATTCCCTCCAGCTGCTGCCTCAGGTCGGAATAGAGCTCTGAGGGGTGGAGGAGAGGGGAGGGGGAGGGGAGGAGAGCGGGGGAGCAAGGGAGGGGAAGAGGAGAGAGGCAAGAAGAGTGAGGGAATGGGAGGGTGCATGGGATGGTACGGCAGTATGCATGCGAAGCAACTCACCACCACTAGAGCCATGGCATACATCTAGCTTCATCCGTACCTTCCAATCTGTTGCTGAGATGCGACGGCAAATATCGACCGTTGATCTTCCTTGTGACTGGCAAGCCATCGGTCTTCACGATCTCCTCCGCAACCTCGCTCAGCTCCTGGAGCAATGAGCGTGCGACACGTGGCAAATGGAGAGTCATTGGAGAAAATGATGAGCACAGCGTGTTTGGTGATTCAGGCGCAATGCGCATGCATGCATGAATATATCATGTATGTATGGCTTGCTTGGTGTAACCAGAGGTATGAGAGCTGTCAGCTGTTCATCCCATGTCAAATTTTCATCCCTCCCAACCTTCAAGTTCAGTCCCCGCCTTCATCCCGACTCATCTCAACCAAAACTCTAACCAATCATCGTAACACACATCTAAGTAGTTCATCCCATCCAATCTCAACCGTCCACCCAACCCATCCCATCGTAACCGCCCAACCAATCCATCCCATCTCAGCCGTTCATCCCATCTCACCCGCATTTCCGCCGCCAGTGCGATCATGAGTGCCTTGGAGTCGCTCAGTGCCTGCTCGCGGTATTGCACCTGGTGTGGAGAACGGGGAGGGGGTTGTGGAGTGGGGAGAAAAGAGGGGGAGGAGAGTGAGGAGCAGAAGGGCACAATCCGAACCTCGTGTGCGCCTTCAAGTCGCAGCGCCTGCTCGCGGTACTGCACCTGGTGTGGGGAAGGGGGGAGGGATGGGGGTGTGGCTGGGAAGGAAGCGGTAACCTAAACTCCACAACCTTAGCGTCGCCGTGGAAGCCTCATATGGCTAGCCTAAATCCCTCGATCCTTGCAAGTTCGAGCCACAACGTATGTGCGCCGCGCCTAAACGCCGAGCTTAGCTTCAGAAACGTCTAGAAACTCAATCTACTTACCCGCAGCAGACAGGGACATGTTTCGGAAAACGTTGGGTTGCGTAACCAGAATTACAGCGAGAGATGAAAGATTTCTTGTCCGGCGCGGTCGTCCAAACTATCACTCGCACGCAGCAATAGAAACGCGCTTGTTCTTGTTAAGGCCGCTCTTTTCTCCTCCACGCCCTGAACGTTCATAAGCCTACTTACCTATAGCGACCAAACGGAGCACCCCTATTTCTCCCTTCTCCTTACCCCGTACTTCGCGCTGCAGGAAGCGGTTGTACGCGTTCGACTCGCTCAGCTTCTTGCTCAGCCCGCTTCGTCCTCACCAAAGCCTCAGCTTTTGACAGCTCACCTCCCGCAACCAAACACACAGACCCTCCCCCCACGCTCCCCACCGCTCCCCATCACTCCGTACAGCTCCGTACCTCGCGCTGCAGGAAGCGGTTGTACGTGTTGGACTCGCTGAGCTTCTTGTTCAGCCGCGACCGCATGGCGATGACCTGGCGAATGACAGCAAGGGTAGATGGAACATGAACGGATGCGGCGACGAGAGAATGAGAGGAGCGGGAGTGACGAAGAAGAACGACGATGGAAGAAACAGCTCGAAAGACGTGCTTTCGTGAAATTGGTAGCGACGCACGAGACGCAGTGGGTGAGTACACGGACGGAAAAAGGATTGGACGCCAACGACGAAAATACGCCGCCATTTTTTGTTTTTCAAGATCAACCGCTGCACACGTGGCAAGTAACTGGACAATTCAACATCCAAACGGTTCTCACCTCAGTACGAGGCACCACTGTTCTGTCGTCGGGTCTCGCCATGGACGGGGAGGAACGCGCCTTGGGTATCAATCCCTCAAGGTCGCTCTCCGCATCTTGCGCCGGCTGCGCCTTCGCCGCTGCCAGCCATGGCATCTGCCGCGCGACTGACGCCGGAAGACCCGGAATGCTCGGCGCATCGGGAGCCGCGACGGCAGGTTTATTAGAGAGGTCGTTTTCGGGGTTGTTAGCGAAGTCGCTGTAACGAGGGGATTTGACGGGCGGCCGCGCGGTGTCCGCGCGGGGAGGGGGAGGTTTAGTTGTCTCGTTCGCGAGCTTCTTTACGAGGTTCGACAAGTCCTGCAGCTCGCTTGGTAACTTCGCGAATTCGCTGGACGAATACTGCGACTTTCGCGAGCCTTCGGAAATTGCCGAAACGACGTGGCGACGGGAAGCCTGCGGCAGCTTCTGTGAGGGGAAGGAGTGTGTCGCCGTGCGAAGCGCGAGAGGTCGAGCTTCTTGTGGACCGGAGAGGAGGAGCGCCGACCCCGCTGGAGAACACCGTGTGAGAATATCCATGGTTTAACCAGGCGGCTTACGTAACACAAAAAAGTGTGCACTCGCGCGAAAAAAACGAGACTTTAGCAATTCAAGGCCTGAGATAAGGTAGGCTTCTCAGGACACTAATAGCTGTGCTCGGACTTACAGCTTCTCCGGCTTACAGGCTCTTCCGCAGGGAAATAGGCAGGGAGCGGAATGGTGAGATGTCGAGCAATTGCAGCCAAGCCAACTATTTTGGACTATGCAGCAAACAATGTTTCGTTGAATATCAGTGAGTGGAGATATGCTTGAGTGTGGGTGTTGGGGATGGTGGTGGTGGTCTTGGGGGATGCCAGCCTGCCAGGGAAAGTGCTTTTGGTTGTGTGAAACAACCTTGGATCTGGATTGAGCGGTCGAGGCGAGAGTCTGGCGACAGGTAACAGAAAAGCGAACTCCAGCGAGGGCGCTAGCTCTGCGCGAATATTCGAGAAAGGGATGTAATCGAGGGGAAGTGGCCTGCTCGTGCATCTAGAGGCAGAATGAACTCAAATGAGGGGACCACGATTGTGCCACGTGTAACCATAAATTGTTCGTCCAGATTCGTTCTGAAATCTCCATCTCCGTGGATATTGGAAGCATGTGAAGTGTCACGTCAGTCTTGAAGGCCAATTTCAGGCTTGGCTCGCAGTGCAGTTTGTGCGGAGAAACTAGTGGCTCAGAGGGATGCACCGCGATAGGCGGAAGCCAACATACACGTAATCATGACTCGGTCAAGCAACCAGCCAGCTCCCTCAACAACCATGCCAGCCACCACCACCACCGTGGCCACACCCACCCACACCACACCACACCCCACATCTCAGCAGTTGCGTTGCCTGTATCTCTTTATGCTTTTCTTTTGCAAAGTTCAACATGCGTGTAAAGTAGTTATATCTATTTAGTTATATGAGATGCTAAAATAGTGACCCCCCCCTTCTAGTTGGGTCCTTTTGAAAGTTGAAGTGTTGTTCTGTTTTTTTTTTTACTGGCTCATATGATACTGGTCGACTCTTGACATTTCTTCTCAAACATAAATCGTCGTAAGCATATGCAAAAGCGTCGCTCCGAAGTTTGCGACGTGCAAGTCATTTACAACCAGTGCCACATTCACATTGCGAAGCAATGTCCAACTGAAGCAAAGCAAGTCCAACTCACGCAACGCAAATGCCTTGGGGTACATTCCTGCGGGGACACTTGTGTCTCAATCACTTTGTGACATCTAAAAACAGCATATACCGTGCCCTGTCACAAAAGCGGATCGCGCTTATGCGAGTCCCACTGTATTTTACATTGGTTGGCGTGAATTGCGCTTGTGTCGCGGACTGTTGAATTATATTGCATATCTTATAACTGCCTACAGCTAGCTAGTATACTAGTTTAGATATTAGCATCAACTGCAGGTGGTGTACCCTCCCTTTTGCCCATTCCTATATCTTGTATTCATTCCATAGTGAAACTCCTCTTTTGGCCAACTTCCCTCTCCATGGTTCTCCTTGCTGAACCTCTCCAAAACCCTAGTTCCTAATCTCCTAAGTTTCCTAACTACTATGGTTCTCAACATGGTATTAAGAGCTGGGTCCTTCTAAGGACCTTGTTATTTTTCATTCGCCATGGCTGCCATCGTTGCCATGGCGACCGTTGCTGCGCCCTTCGAGGCGCTCGCCCGTTGCCTGCCCCGCGCTGAACGCCCCGTGCTACCCGCCCCACGCGCTGGTCGCCCCGTCCCGCGCGCTGTCGCGTCGCCCCGTCGCTGGTCGCGGACGCCAGCACCAGCGCCTCTGACCGTCGCTGAGCCAGCGCGAGCGCCAGCGACGTGCGCCAGCGCCAGCGACTGTCGCGAGCGCCAGCGCCAGCGCCGGTCCCCAGCGCCAGCGCCAGCGTCAGCGCCAGCGCCAGCGGCATGCGCCAGCGCCGGTCGCGAGCGCCAGCGCCAGCAGCGGCCGCCAGCGCCCCTGCCATCGCCACCCCGCTCCCCGCCTCCGCACCTGCCGTCGCTCTCTTCTACGGTGGACGTTGCGGGGGGGAGGTGGCGAGGCTCGCGCCCGCGGCTACGGGGGTGCTTAAGCCCCCTTGAACCCTCCTGCCCCTCCCTAATCCTCCTCCTCATCGCTGCCCGTGCATCTGCAGTTCGTGCCGCGTTTGGGGGGGGGGGGAAGAGGGTGTGGGGGTGGCGGGTATGTGCAGGCAGCCGCCTCCCCCTTCTCCTCCTCCTTCCGCTGCACTTCCTCTCCTCCTCCTCCTCTCCTCTCCTCCAGCCGCATCTCCTCCTCCTCTCCTCTCCTCCAGCCGCATCTCCTCCTCCTCTCCTCTCCTCCAGCCGCATCTCCTCCTCCTATCTCCTCTCCTCCAGCCGCATCTCCTCCTCCTCTCCTCTCCTCCAGCCGCATCTCCTCCTCCTCTCTTCTCCTCCAGCCGCATCTCCTCCTCCTATCTCCTCTCCTCCAGCCGCCTCTCCTTTGCTCTCCTCCTGTGCACCACCAGCAGCTTCCTCCTTCTCACCAACAGTTGTGTTTGCTCGTAGATGGCGAGCGACCAGCATCCTTCGCCCTCCGGCTATCCCAGCCCTCCTCCGCGCTCTCCGCGCCCTCCTCCGTCCTGGCGTTCACAGGTGCTGCCGGTCAGCCACCGCTGTTTCTGTGCCTATCCCAGCTACAGCAACCGCTCTCCAGGCGACCTGGTGCCAGGCACCACTAGCTATAGCCGTAGGCAGTTACGGGGGTGTGTTGAATTATATTGCATATCTTATAACTGCCTACAGCTAGCTAGTGTACTAGTTTAGGTATTAGCATCAACTGCTGGTGGTGTACCCTCCCTTTTGCCCATTCCTATATCTTGTATTCATTCCATAGTGAAACTCCTCTTTTGGCCAACTTCCCTCTCCATGGTTCTCCTTGCTGAACCTCTCCAAAACCCTAGTTCCTAATCTCCTAAGTTTCCTAACTACTATGGTTCTCAACACGGACGAGTTACACGAGGCCCCGTCACATCCCGAAAATCGCACGCGTGTCGAAATCTCACACTGTACAGCATGCACCTGGACGCCCGAACTGGACACGTTTCCGCGCGGGGATGGAAACCGCTCTGCCCGGGCTGACATATGACTGGTTGTATACATGCTGTTGTGTGTGGGGTGGCCCAAATTGCAACTTTCATTTCTGTGGCAAGCCCACCGCGATACTCGAGGTGGTGCGATATGTTTAGCCCCCCTGCCCGGCAGGAAAACTGGGTGGGCACAATCCTATTGGTCGCAACCAATAGTACGCACCCACCTGGCTGTGCCCATCTGTCGCGCAGGGTCGCGATACATTGGTTGTTTGTGACACAACATTTGGCAAATTTACAGGCGCGACTCGGGAAAACGGGGATTGAGACACAAGTGTCCCCACAGGAATGTACCCTTAGAGCATGTCCCTGCTAGGGCGGCAATGACAACACAGTGCAACAGAAACGAGGACGCGAAAGGAGAGATGTGTGAGCAAAATCCGCGGAATGGTAGGGAGATGGGAGGGTCAATGGTGTTGGCGGAATGAGAGGAGAACGTGAGGGCGACGGAAAGGGAGGGGAGAGAGCGAGGGCGACGGAAAGGGAGGGGAGAGAGTGAGGGGGACGGGAAGGGAGGGGAGAGAGCGAGGGCAACAGAAAGGGAGAGGAGAACGTGAAGGCGACGGAAAGGGAGGGGAGAACGTGAGGGCGACGGAAAGGGAGGGGAGATAGTGAGGGCGACGGAAAGGGAGGGGAGAGATCGAGGGCGACGGGAAGGGAGGGGAGAAAGCGAGGGCGACGGAAAGGGAGGGGAGAGAGCGAGGGGGACGGGAAGGGAGGGGAGGGAGCGAGGGCAACAGAAAGGGAGAGGAGAACGTGAGGGCGACGGAAAGGGAGGGGAGCGAGGGCGACGGGAAGGGAGGAGAGAGATCGTGGGCGACGGGAAGGGGGAAGGGAGGGGAGAGGCGACGAGAGAGAGGAAAGGCGATAAGAGAGAGGAACGCGACGGGAGAGAGGAAGGGGGACGGAAGAGAGGAAGGCGACGGATGAGTGGAAAGGCGACAGGAGAGAGGAAAGGCGATAAGAGAGAGGAACGCGGCGGGAGAGAGGCAGGGCGACGGGAGAGAGGAAGGGCGACGGGAGAGAGGAAGGGCGACGGGAGAGAGGAAGGGCGACGGGAGAGAGGAAGGGCGACGGAAGAGAGGAAAGGTGATAAGAGAGAGGAAGGCGACGGGAGAGAGGAAAGGAGACGGGAGAGAGGAAAGGCGACGGGAGAGAGGAGGGCGATGGGAGGGCGTTTTGTTGCGAGCGTGATGGAGACGTTGCAAAGAGTGACGCAGCGAAGTCACAGCGAGGCCGATTGCGACGTGGAATGTGACGATTGCGCGATATGCGAAAAACAATTCGATATTCTAATAAATTAATGGGCATCCAAGTTAAAACATAATCGACGCGCCTAGGCAGAAAATGTCTAGGGTCTCAGCTAATCTATGCTAGGCTGAAAAATAGTCTTCAGGAGTAGAAACTTGCTACGGTAGCAGTGAACCCATGGACTCCTTGAACATGAAGCTGGGTCCAGCGATCAAAACCAATGGCGCTGTTCTGTAGGCGTATTTCCTCCGCATTAAATGTACGGAACTTGTCCTTCCTTGTAGCTTCTGGCCGCACCAAAATGCCTAATTTCTCAAAATAATTGGGGGGTGTTGCCACGAAGCTCGCTCGAAAACTCGAATCTCACAAATTGCTGCCCTGCATAACTTGTGCGCCGGCTGATGCTAGCTCTCGAGGCCGAATTGGCAGCGCACAAGTTATGCGGACATTTGCCTGGAGATGCAACACCGTGGAACCTTCACCCCGTTAAATTTGTGTGCCCCAAAAGTGGCGTTCTGCAGGCTGAAGCGTTAAATTTGGCGCAAAAAGGTTTGGCAGGACCGCGCTTATCACCAAGCCTTGATAGGCAGAAGCGCGCTTATCGGGGAAGATTCTGCGGACCCAGTTTCTGGCAATTTAACGCCTGCAGAACAGCGCCAATGTCGTGCAACCGTCGTGCAAGCACATGAATGCGACTCCTTCTACAAGCGGCAATTTTGTTTTGGCGGGAGCCAATCACATAAGCTTGATCTGTTTAGACGGGTTGTTTGAAACAGTGTTATCGCTCGCTTCAACGGGCTTACGAAAAAACTCATTTTCAAGTTGGGATGGGGTTCACTATTTTAGCTGCTGGCTTTAAGCTATCATATTATGTGGAAGCGAGCACCGAATTTCATATTATGTGTCTGGTCCTATTACCAAGCCAGCAAGGGCGTGGGAGGGTTGCGAGCATCAACGGTCATCGGCGCTCGCGAATGAAGAGCGCCCGCTGCACTTCGTCTACATGAACGAATCCTTCCGCATTTTGGGGGTAGAAGCGCTCGTTCCAAGCGTTTTTCTTCCGCCGGGTCACGTGGCTGCTTGTCTGGGCCTATTACCAAGCCAGCAAGGGCGTGGGAGGGTTGCGAGCATCATCGGTCATCGGCGCTCGCGAATGAAGAGCGCCGGCTGCACTTCCTTCACATGCGCGGATTCTTCCGCGTTATGGGGGTGGAAGCGCTCGTTCCGAGCGTTTTTCTTCCGCCGGGTTACGTCCCTGCGCTTGTCTGGTCCTATCACCAAGCCAGCAAGGGTGTGAGAGGGTTGCGAGCATCATCGCTCATCGGCGCTCGCGAATGAAGAGCGTCTGCTGCACTTCCAGCACATGTGCAGGATGCTTCCGCGTTTTGGGGGCCTCAGATTCCAGGAATTTTACCCTGATTTCCTGAAGTTTGACCCCGGTTTTTTAAAATGACCCTGATCAATCAGCCTTTTTTTATTTTAACAACCTTGATGAATCAGTTTTTTTGTTTTCAAAGACTGATATTCCAGTGTTTCCTGTTTCACGACACTGACGAGTCAGTGTTGTATCGGAGACGACCCTGAAACCGAAAACTCTGTGATTCTCGCAGTTTTGCGCGCCGTCATCATGCATCTACCCACCCTGCACCAACGCAACCATGCGGCTCGCCCAGATACATAGCTGAACCGGGTAATTTCGGGAACTGTTGGCAAAACGGCGCAAAGAGATTGGCTGTCCCAGCTGATGCAATGTACCGTTGTCACTGTGGATAACCAACACTTGTCATTTCTGGCCATTGATGCGCACAAACACACCTAGTGGCCCAGTGGGCTAGTGGTCAGCCTTGTCCTTTTCACCAAGGCAGGGAGTGCTGGGGCAGTCCGCTCAGCCACCCCACGCAGGGGGTCTCGTGATTCTGTCATTCTAGCTCTCCAGACTCCATCCCTTACGGAAACATCCATCTATGCAGTCTCCATGAAGCCTGCTCGGCAGGCTCTCTCTCTCCCAGGGTTCCTAGATACTACTCTGCGATTTATGAAGGGATAGTGAACGCGCCATGGCGATCACCGGTGAGAACAGTAGCGGTGATGATGACGACGATGCCCTCTACGCCGCCACCAAGATGCGGGAGGCCAAAACGGGTCTAGATTTTCTAGTCTCTGTGCTCTCCCATGAAAAAGAGAAGCAAGCTCCCCTCACATCAGGAGCATACACTGGTGAAGCGTCTGACCTCTGCCGCGTAGACGATCGCTTCCAGCCCGCGCATACTGCCAAGCCGGCCGTGGCGTCAGCAGCTGGCCCGAGCGTCCGCTTGCCATCTCGTGCCTCGTCGTCGAAGCCTCCGCCTCGTTACAAGCAGGCCGTGCTCCGCTGGGCCGATCCAACCGCTCCTGCCCATCCTCTCGCTGATGCTGGCGAGTCGGTAAACCACGTTACGGCCACTCCATCCAAGTCTAAAAAGCCGTCACTAACCACTCTGATTTACGAGGATGCGTTGGACTCGTTCAAGTCCACGTGATCGACAGACTACCCATGGCTCATACTCATCAAAAACACTTCTGGCATGCCTGCGTTCAAGTGCAAATTGTGCATGGACTTTGCAGGTGACGGTGGCAAGTGTGGCAAGAGTGGGCACGGTGCAACCGATCTTCAGACCCAAGCCTTCAAGCGGCATGCCGCGACGAACAAGCACCAGTTGGCCATCGAGCACCAGAAGAAGATGCTAGCTCAGGCTGGGAAGCAGCCGCGGATTGATGAGCATCCCCTCGCCAAGGATGACGACACGACCCGCGTCATCGCCCTCCTGAAATCCCTTCACTTCACCACCCAGAACCATCTGCCGATGGAGACGTGGGTGCCCCTCGTTTGGTACATGGCTCAGAACGAGGTAAGCAGATTTCCCAAAAAGGGATACAACACTTATTACTCCACGTAAGTGCTTTCAAGCGCATGCCCTGGAAAGCCTGTCATGTTAACAACCACATAACCCTAACAAATGTTGCCTGTGTCTATGCAGGTACGGCTTCGGGGAACTCACACAGGCAACGGCAGTGTGGCTGCAGACCACACAACTGGAGCACATCCTAAGAAGCCATTACATCGGCCTCAGCTATGACGAGTCTACGGACAGATGCCGTGGGAAGCATCTCATCATCTGCGTCACATTCATCCGCGACGGGGCAGTATTCACTGAGTTCTTTGCCCTGCTAACCGTGGACAGGGCAGACGCCGCATCACTGCTCTTATCCCATGTCAATGCCGTCGACATTGACCTGCGCCGAATCACGGGCATTAGCACCGACGGGGCGAGCGTGATGGTCGGATCCAAAAACGGGCTGGTGGTGAGGCTGAGGACGCGCATACCGCATCTGGTTTCCTGCCACTGCATCGCTCACATGTATGATGGTTGATGCACTGTCCGTTGATTTGCAGTTATTTGCACGTGGTTTCCTTCCTTCTACTTACCCAAATGCGTCTCTTGCTTGTTTTAATCGCAGGGAAGCGCTCGCGGCCAAGGACGCGGCAGAGTCCCTTCCGGAGTTTGGCATGGTCGACAGCTTCATCCGCTGGCTCTCCACCTACCTCGGCTCAACAGGACCCTGGCACCAGCGGTTCCTGGACCTGCAGGAAGTCTTCACTCAGACTAACCTGGAGCTCCAAGGAATCAATGATGTGCGTTGGCTCTCGCGCGGAGATGCAGTCTGCCGACTTCTTGCAGTCCTGCCGGGTGTCATCGTGATGGTGCACGAGCTGGGAAACAAGCCCATGTACCAGATGGTAACAAGCTACAGGTTCCAATTCATGCTGCGCTTCCTCGCTGACGTGCTGGAACAACTGAACGTGCTCAGCAAGACGTTCCAGCATCGACAGGTGAGATTCAGATTTTGCCGTGATTCCCACAGCAATGCGCATTCTTGTGTGCAAGCACCGACCATGCAGATATTGGGTTAAGGGCCGCTGGCTCCTGTTAGTTCTGCATTGAGATTGAAACCTGGCAGTGTTTTTTCTCACGTTCTTGTGTGGCAGATTGACCTGCTGGCGGTACAAGGCCAGATCCGTCGCACGACAACCCACATCAACAGCCGTTATGTGGTTTGGGGCGACGACTTCGGAGGCGGCCTGAGCGAGAAGCTGTCGCCCTTCATTGCACGACATGGACCGAACGGGGTGCGGAGAGTGGAGGTCGAGTGGATTGACTCCGACAGACGCCCCACTTCTCACTGCTACGTCCTGCATGATTCCCCCCTTGAAGGCTACCCCATTGCAGGGACCCATGACCGATGCGTGGACCAGTGCACGGCGATGGGGGAGTCCCTCGTGCATAACCTGGATGAGCGGCTAGGTTCTCTCGACAAGTTGAGCGGTGTGAAGCTGCTCATGCCCGACGAGTGGCCCCATGGACGCAGGAGCGATCCATGGTCTGCACGGAGCACCTCGAGTCCCTGACGACGCTCTTCAAGGCCCAAGAGTGCGACGAGATCGTTCCAGGTACAAGCTGCCTTACGGTCTCTGCATCGTTGTTTGTGCTGCTCAGTTGTGTAGCACCTAAACCCAGGCACCACTTGTGTGCAGAGCCTTGCTTACGTTGTTTATTTCCTTCTGCATGCGCACTCCCGGACTCCAGGTGTCAACAAGAAGAAGGCGTTCAAGGAGCTCCGCTCGTTCTGCACGGTTCTCGCTGGAGCTCCAAAGTCCGAGAGGAAGTTCTACCCGGGTCTCTCGGCGATGCTGAGGTCTCCCGACTGGGAGGACGCATACCCCAACCTGGTGAAGCTGTGGATGGCTGTCGCTGTGCTACTGTTGAGCACAGTCGAGTGCGAATGGGGGTTCTCGCGTCAAAACATCATAAAGAGCTGGCTAAGGGGTGCCATCAAGGATGCGCGGCTGTCGGACCTCATGTGCATGGCATTGCTGCCGTACGAGCCCGACTGGGTGGAGGTGGTGAAGATATGGAGGGCGTACAAGAAGCGCAAGCTCATCACAACAGTGGCAGCACCAAAGAAGCAACCTAGTGCTAAGGGGAAAGAGAAGGTGGACGAGGATGATGCTGGTGGTGCTGGCTCTGGGTGGGGGACAGAGACTCCCATGCACATGCACGTGTCTATGAGCGAGCTCGCTAGCGACGATGATGAAGACATGTGATGTGAAGTGTGTGTGCGCTGTGTGCGCCAAATGGTCTGTGATGTGCTGCAGTAGTTAGATTAGAAGTTCATTAGAACAGTATTCTGACTTAATTTATTTTAGTTGTTTGTGGTTGTGGATTCCAACAAGCGTCAGTGTTTTTTTACGACTCACCCTGATTAATCAGTGTTTTTTTTTTTTTTTTTTTTTTTTTTTTTTTTTTTTTTTTTTTTTTTTTTAACACTGACAAATCAGTGTTTCTCCACGGACAACCCTGATGATCAGTGTTACAGCCCCAAGGGACAATGAGTGCTCAGGGTCACCCAAAACGAATCTGAGGCCCTGGTGGAAGCGCTCGTTCCGAGCGTTTTTCGTCCGCCGAGTCACGTGACTGCGCTTGTCTGGGCCTATTACCAAGCAAGCAAGGGCGTGGGAGGGTTAAAAGCATCATCGGTCATCGGCGCTCGCGAATGAAGAGCGTCCGCTGCACATACTACACATGTGCGGATGCTTCCGCGTTTTGGTGGTGGAAGCGATCGTTCAGAGCGTTTTTCGTCCGCCAGGTCACGTGGCTGCGCTTGTCTGGGCCTATTACCAAGCGAGCAAGGGCGTGGGAGGGTTGCAAGCATCATCGTTCATCGGCGCTCGCGAATGAAGAGCGCCCGCTGCACATCCTGCACATGTGCAGACCCTTCCGCGTTTTGGGGATGGAAGCGCTCGTTCCGAGCGTTTTCGCCCGCCGGGTCACGTACCTGCACTTCTCTGGGCCTACTACCAAGCGAGCAAGGGCGTGGGAGGGTTGCGAGCATCATCGGTCATCGGCGCTCGCGAATGAAGAGCGCCCGCTAACATCCCTGCACATGTGCGGATCCTTCCGCGTTTTGAGGGTGGAAGCGCTCGTTCCGAGCGTTTTTCTTCCGCCGGATCATGTGGCTGCGTTTGTTGGGGCCTATTTCCAAGCCAGCAAGGGCGTGGGAGGGTTGCGAGCATCATCGGTCATCGGCGCAGAGCGCCCGCTAACATCCCTGCACATGTGCGGATCCTTCCGCGTTTTGAGGGTGGAAGCGCTCTTTCTGAGCGTTTTTCTTCCGCCGGGTCACGCGGCTGCATTTGTTGGGGCCTATTACCAAGCCAGCAAGGGCGTGGGAGGGTTCCGAGCATCATCGGTCATCGGCGCTCGCGAATGAAGAGCGCCCGCTGCACTTCGTGCACATGTGCGGATCCTTCCGCGTTATGGGGGTGGAAGCGCTCGTTCCGAGCGTTCTTATTCCGCCGGGTCACGTGGCTGCGCTTGTCTGGTCCTATTACCAAGCCAGCAACGGCGTGGGAGGGTTGCGAGCATCATTAGTTATCGGCGCTCGCGAATGAAGAGCGCCCGCTGCACTTCCTGCACATGTGCGGATCCTTCAGCGTTTTTGGGGTGGAAGCGCTCGTTCTGAGCGTTTTTCTTCCGCCGGAACACGTGGCTGCGCTTGTCTCGGCTAATTAGCAAGCGAGCAAGGACGTGGGAGGGTTGCGAGCATCATCGGTCATCGGCGCTCGCGAAAAAAGAGCGCCCGCTGCACATCATGCACATATGCGGATGCTTCCGCGTTTTGGGGCTGGAAGCGCTCTTTCCGAGCGTTTTTCTTCCGCCGGGTGACGCAGCTGCGCTTGTCTGGGCCTATTACCAAGCCAGCAAGGGCGTGGGAGGGTTGCGAGCACAATCGGTCATCGGCGCTCGCGAGTGAAGAACGCCCGCTGCACATCCTGCACATGTGCGTATCCTTCCGCGTTATGGGGCTGGAAGCGCTCGTTCCGAGCGTTTTTCTTCCGCCGGGTCACGTGGCTGCGCTTCTCTGGTCCTATTACCAAGCCAGCAAGGGCGTGGGAGGGTTGCGAGCATCATCGGTCATCGGCGATCGCGAATGGAGAGTGCCCGCTGCACTTTCTGCACATGTGCGTATCCTTCCGCATTTTGGGGCTGGAAGCGCTTAATCTGAGCGTTTTTCTTCCGCCGGGTCACGTGGCTGCGCTTCTCTGGTCCTATTACCAAGCCAGCAAGGGCATGGGAGGGTTGCGAGCATCATCGGTCTTTGGCGATCGCGAATGGAGAGCGCCCGCTGCACTTCCTACACATGTGCATATCCTTCCGCATTTTGAGGCTGGAAGCGCTCGTTCCGAGCGTTTTTCTTCCGCCGGGTCATGCGGCTGCGCTTGTCTGGTCCTATTACCAAGCCAGCAAGGGCATGGGAGGGTTGCGAGCATCATCGGTCATCGGCGATCGCGAATGAAGAGCGCCCGCTGCACTTCCTGCACATGTGCGTATCCTTCCGCATTTTGAGGCTGGAAGCGCTCGTTCCGAGCATTTTTCTTCCTCTGGGTCACGCGGCTGCGCTTGTCTGGTCCTATTACCAAGCCAGCAAGGGCATGGGAGGGTTGCGAGCATCATCGGTTATCGGCGCTCGCGAATGGAGAGCGCCCGCTGCACTTCCTGCACATGTGCTGATCCTTCCGCATTTTGAGGCTGGAAGCGCTCGTTCTGAGCGTTTTTCTTCCACCGGCTCACGTGGCTGTGCTAATGTGGTCCTATTACCAAGCCAGCAAGGGTGTGGGAGGGTTGCGAGCATGATCGGTCATCGGCGATCGCGAATGGAGAGCGCCCACTGCACTACCAGCACATGTGCGTATCCTTCCGCATTTTGGGGCTGGAAGCGCTCGTTCCGAGCGTTTTTCTTCGGCCGGGTCACGTGGCTGCGCTTGTCTGGTCCTATTACCAAGGGAGCAAGGGCGTGGGAGGGTTGTGAGCATCATCGATTATCGGCGATCGCGAATGGAGAGCGCCCGCTGCACTTCCTGCACATGTGCGTATCATTCCGCATTTTGAGGCTGGAAGCGCTCGTTCCGAGCGTTTTTCTTCCGCCGGGTCGCATGGCTGCGTTTTTCTGATCCTATTACCAAGCCAGCAAGGGCGTGGGAGGGTTGCGAGCATCATCGGTCATTTGCGATCGCGAATGGAGAGCGCCCGCTGCACTTCCTGCACATGTGCGTAACCTTCTCCATTTTGGGGTTGGAAGCGCTTGTCCGAGCGTTTTTCTTTCGCCGGGTCACGTGGCTGCGTTTCTCTGGTCCTATTACCAAGCCAGCAAGGGCATGTGAGGGTTGCGAGCATCATCGGTCATCGGCGATCAAGAATGGAGAGCGCCCGCTGCACTTCCAGCCCATGTGCGTATCCTTCCGCATTTGGAGGCTGGAAGTGCTCGTTCCGAGTGTTTTTCTTCCGCCGGGTCACGTGGCTGCGTTTGTTGGGGCCTATTACCAAGCCAGCAAGGGCGTGGGAGGGTTGCGAGCATCATCGGTCATCAGCGCAGAGCGCCCGCCAACATCCCTGCACATGTGCGGATCCTTCCGCGTTTTGAGGGTGGAAGCACTCTTTCCGAGCGTTTTTCTTCCGCCGGGTCACGCGGCTGCATTTGTTGGGGCCTATTACCAAGCCAGTAAGGGTGTGGGAGGGTTCCGAGCATCATCGGTCATCGGCGCTCGCGAATGAAGAGCGCCCGCTGCACTTCGTGCACATGTGCGGATCCTTCCGCGTTATGGGGGTGGAAGCGCTCGTTCCGAGCGTTCTTATTCCGCCGGGTCACGTGTCTGCGCTTGTCTGGTCCTATTACCAAGCCAGCAAGGGCGTGGGAGGGTTGCGAGCATCATCAGTCATGGTGCTCGCGAATGAAGAGCGCCCGCTGCACTTCCTGCACATGTGCGGATCCTTCCGCGTTTTTGGGGTGGAAGCGCTCGTTCCGAGCGTTTTTCTTCCGCCGGAACATGTGGCTGCACTTCTCTGGGCTTATTAGCAAGCGAGCAAGGACGTGGGAGGGTTGCGAGCATCATCGATCATCGGTGCTCGAGAAAAAAGAGCGCCCGCTGCACATCATGCACATGTGCGGATGCTTCCGCGTTTTGGGGCTGGAAGCGCTCGTTCCGAGCGTTTTTCTTCCGCCGGGTCTCACAGCTGCGCTTGTCTGGGCCTATTACCAAGCCAGCAAGGGCGTGGGAGGGTTGCGAGCATCGTCGGTCATCAGCGCTCGCGAGTGAAGAGCGCCCGCTGCACATCCTGCACATGTGCGTATCCTTCCGCGTTATGGGGCTGGAAGCGCTCGTTCCGAGCGTTTTTCTTCCGCCGGGTCACGTGGCTGCGCTTCTCTGGTCCTATTACCAAGCCAGCAAGGGCGTGGGAGGGTTGCGAGCATCATCGGTCATCGGCGATCGCGAATGGAGAGTGCCCGCTGCACTTTCTGCACATGTGCGTATCCTTCCGCATTTTGGGGTTGGAAGCGCTTGTTCCGAGCGTTTTTCTTCCGCCGGGTCATGTGGCTGCGCTTCTCTGGTCCTATTACCAAGCCAGCAAGGGCATGGGAGGGTTGCGAGCATCATCGGTCTTTGGCGATCGAGAATGGAGAGCGCCCGCTGCACTTCCTACACATGTGCGTATGCTTCCGCATTTTGGGGCTCGAAGCGCTCGTTCCAAGCGTTTTTCTTGCGCCGGGTCACGCGGCTGCGCTTCTCTGGTCCTATTACCAAGCCAGCAAGGGCATGGGAGGGTTGCGAGCATCATCGGTCATCGACGATCGCGAATGGAGAGCGCCCGCTGCACTTCCTGCACATGTGCGTATCCTTCCGCATTTTGAGGCTGGAAGCGCTCGTTCCGAGAAATTTTCTTCCTCCGGGTCACGCGGCTGCGCTTGTCTGGTCCTATTACCAAGCCAGCAAGGGCATGGGAGGGTTGCGAGCATCATCGTTTATCGGCGCTCGCGAATGGAGAGCGCCCGCTGCACTTCCTGCACATGTGCTGATCCTTCCGCATTTTGAGGCTGGAAGCGCTCGTTCCGAGCGTTTTTCTTCCACCGGCTCACGTGGCTGTGCTAATGTGGTCCTATTACCAAGCCAGCAAGGGTGTGGGAGGGTTGCGAGCATGATCGGTCATCGCCGATCGCGAATGGAGAGCGCCCACTGCACTTCCAGCACATGTGCGTATCCTTCCGCAT